TCTCTCTCGCATGTTCTTTCCTTTCGCATCTCAAAACTCACCATTTGTCTACTAGTTGTGACACTCTGAAAGGTCGCAGAAATCGTCCAAAGGAGATTCATTGTCGTTTGTTGTACTGGTTTTGTCACTCTCAAGACTTGTATATGGATCTGTTATTAGGTGTGAATGGATATGTTATTTTTCAAACATGAAAAGTCTCTATTTTGTGAGGTACTTAATTGTTGCTTGTTATATTAATAGTGGATATTTTGTCTGGCATATTTGTAAGTCTAAGAATCCTGTTACTTAAATGGGTGCTGTGAAAGCTAAATCTATAGAAAAATGATAATTTGATGTTGCTAAAATATGTATGTGTATTATAAATTTGTAAATTCGAGTTGCCTAGGAAAATGGCAATTCATGTTGTGAAAACTTGTATATCTGTTGCTAATTCACAAATTTCTGATGTAAACATATACAGTTAGGATATTAATAACAACAAGTAGTAACTTTACAGCATGATGTTCTAGAATTTTGCCTGTCATAAGCAAGGATGGTGCAAGAGCATAGAGCATGGCAAGTGGAGAAACACCTGAACCAAGTTCTGGAATATGAAGTCAGTTCCTGTTGCAAAATTACTTCAACAAATAAAGACACAGCAGAAAAGAAGGTGATAACATGGCAAATTGTTAAATTTTCCATTTGACATGTAATTTAAGCTATTTGGAACTATGTTAAAAGTTATGAATAGAGAATTTAAATAATTTTCTTTTTGGGGAATATATATTATGAGCATGTTGCAAGTTAATTAATTGTAATCTTTAGTCTTTTTCTACCAATTTGCAAGTATGTGATGTATTATTCACAACTGGAATTAGAAAATATGCAACGAGGATAAGTTGATTTATTATAAAAACCCGTCCATTTACAAATAAGCTAATATAACTAAAAAGTTGAACATAATAATATAACAAGTCTGGAGAGATTGTTCACAAGTAAAATTAGAAAATTTGCAACACGAATATGCACATTGACAATAAGAACTCGTCTATTTGTAAATAAAGTAATATGATTAAAAAAATCAGACATGTTGATTCACAAGTCTGGGAGGACTTATTTAAACTGAAATTATAAAATTTGCAACATGCATACGTATATTAACAATAATAATATGTCCATTCACAAGTGATAGTTGAATTGAAGAAGTTGAACATGATTCACAAGTCTGGGAAGGCCTATTTGCAACTAGAATTATGAAATTCGCAACATGTATATGTATATTAACAACAACGTGTCTATTTGCAAGCGAGCTGGTTGAATTAAAAAGGTTGAACAATTCACAAGTTTGGGAGGATTTATTTGCAACTGAAATTAGGGAATTTGCAACAAGAATACATATATTAATGACAAGAATACGGCCATTTGCAGGTGAACTAACTAAATTGACAAATTGATCACAAGTTTACGAGCGAGTGTTCATTCTTAACTAGAAATAGAGAATTTACAATAGAAATACGTATATTGACAATAATAACACGTCTATTTGTAAGTGAGCTAGTTGAATTAACAAATCAAACATAAGTCCACGAGCAAGTGTTCATTGACAACCAGAATAAGAAAATTTGCAATAAAAATACATGTGTTACCAATAGTTACATCTCTTCCATTCATAAGTGGAGTATTTCAAATAAAAAGTTTATGCACAAGTCTGAATGTTTCATTCATAACTGGAATTAGGCAATTTGTAATAGGGATACATGTATTAACAACAAAAATACATCTATTTATAAGTGGACAAAGTTTTTCATACACTTACATTGTTGTCAGCGAATTTCAATGCAGTCTAGTACCATTATGATATTTTTCAACTATCACATCATTATACATTATAGATTCCAATCCATCACCAAAAATATTAAATGGGTTGTCATAGTTACTTTTCCAACCAATCCAAAAATACATATCGAGATTCGTTCATGTGCAAAAGCGGCTCTATATTAAACCAGAAAAGACTATTTTCAACAATAAAATCACATAAGGGGCAAGTCTTTCTAGTATGACTAGCTTCACCACATCTTAAGCAATGATATACTTTTTTCTGCTAGAATTGTGATTCAATCCTCCTAGTTTTAAGCCTTCCAGGATGGCGAGTAGTCAATGGTGGTTGCAAGTTCTTCACAAATGCACCTCCCACATAGGAGATGCAATTAATTGTTTTCCACTACTGTTAGCCTTTTGTTATCTGTAGCTGCATATCATTCAAAAATCAATTTCAATTAACTTTTAATAATTAAACACAATATATATTTGCAATAGAAATTTGCGAATTAGCAATAGAGATACAAGTTTTCTTAGCACGGAATTGCCATTTTCCTAAACAACTCGAATTTGTAAATTTATAATATAAATACATATTTTAGCAACATCAAATTACTATTTTTCTGCAGATTTAGCTTTCACAGCACCTATTCAAGCAACAAGATCCTCAGACTTACAAATATACTAGACAAAATACCCACTATTACTATAACAAGCAACAATCAAGTATCTTATAGAATAGAGATTTTTTATATTCAAAAAATAACATATCCATTCAAGTCTAATAACAGATCCATATATGATTTTTGATAGTGAGAGAACCAGTACAACAAACGACAATGAATCTCCTTTGGATGATTTCTGTGACTTTTCAGAGTGCCACAACTAGTAGACAGATGATGAGTTTTGATATGTGAAAGGAAAGAGCATGTGAGAAAGATTTCAGTGTGAGAGAGGGAAGAGTAGGATGAAATTTTATCCTAAATTTCAGTCCTTTTCTGTTCAATCTCGAGAGCAAAAGTTAACAGGGATATTTGCATCTTTTTCTTTGTCCAATTAATTTCACTTCCCCCCAGGTCCTGTAGTGAAATTTCATATTTTTTAGGGGGTTGATTGAAATAAATTTGCTACAACGGTTTTAGATTGAAATTTTTCCTTGAATAAAAGTCCCACACAATCTTTTTTTCCCCCAAATAACTCTCCAACCCATGTTTCACACTTTCCATGATATGTTTTGTAGGCTAAACGGTAATCCAAACATAGCCTAAGTATCTTTCCAACTTCCTGAGCAATAATATCTACTTCAAATGGCTTCATAAATAATTGGGAGAATTATAATGAAGTCTCAAAGAAAGAAAATAATTACAAAACAAGTCTTAAAAGTTATTATTTTCGACTATAAAATTTATCATTACAGACTGTTTAGGTTGTTATTAAGACTTTTTAGTAATTATTTTTTTCTTAGAACCTGATTGTAATTATCCCCAAATAATTGTAATTACAAGCTTCAAACCACCTATCAAAACAAAACAATTTATGAAAACCAAAATCGATAAACTAGAGGCAAAATATTCATAATTAGTTAAAAATTGACAGCTTTTACCCAAATATCAACTATACACATTTTCCTATCATAATTACTATTCACAAAAAAATAATAACCAAAAAAACATGCTGAAATAAAATGAATTTTATAAGGTTAATTACCGACATGTGCACGTATACAAACGTCAATGCCAGAGTCAAGCTTGGGATCCAATTCCATCAACAAATCCATCATTTGTTATTGTTGTGTTGCCACTTGGCGAGAGCAGAATCTATTATTTAGCTTTTCAAAAGTAAAGCTCAATAATAGACACTAAAATTACTTTTTGGTACGGAGTTTTGAAAATGAGAAATAAGAATTAAAATTGGGGTTGAAAACATATGTTACAAGGATATTTAGCATGAATGATTTCTTATCACATGGGATTAAACAATCCCATATAGATAGGATTGGAGAATACCACCTCCCCTCAGGGTATTCCCCAATCCCACATATATAGGTTTTGTCTAATCCCAAGTATTATACAATTATTCATAATAAATATCTTTTTAATATAGTTTTATATTTTTAATCTCAAATTCTATTTCTTATTTTTAATACTTCGTACTAAACGAGACCTAAAAATCCATGATAGCTTAATGTAATGTGCATGCCCCGCTTTTGAGAAAAAAGCCCACCAGAATATAATCTGTTGAATTATTTTCTTTCTTTGACTGGAGACTTTGGAATGAAGTAATTCACGAGCTTGCCTAATGAGATCAAGCTTCATCATGGATGATGAAATTAAAGCATATACTGTACAAAACCGAACTCAGTGAAGCTACTTGATAGAGATAGATGGCCAGAAAAAGGAAGAGAATTTTTTTTTCCTTGTACTGATGTTTAGAAATAGAAATAACATTAAAAAAAATGATGAATTAGTCATATGAAGATAGACTTTCATATTCTTCTTCTCAACGTCCTCGCATTCTTCTCCAATTTTTTTCTGAATCAAAATAACACGCAAGGGAAAGGAATGGATCCTCTCTCCTTTTTGTTTCACACTATTGAATTAAAATTTTGATGGCACAGATGTAACATCTTATAAAAATATTATTATAATTTTACATGCATTAATATATAAATAAATTTCGGCTGTTAAAATTTGATTTGAACGGACAATTATTGTAAAATAGATTCTTTTAACTTTTTTTTAACTACAGTTTTGTTTAGATCAAATTTGGACACTATAAACTTACTAGTTACTAATGCATTTTTCAAGTGTAATTATAATAATACTTTTATAAAATGTTAAAATGAAGGGTGAAATAATATCTTTTTATTAACATGATTATGGTTGAAAATATAATATCCTTCTCCCCTCTTAATTATCTAATTTCGTAAAACAAAACATAAAAAAGATGTTCTGACTTTTTTTGCCGTTTTTCAAAATAAATTTTAACTTCTTTATTTTCAACACAACCAAAAATACATTTTCAAACATGTTTTTATTTTTTATTTTGTTTGGTTTAGTTTTTTAAAGCAAAAACCAGTTTTGAAAACTGAAAGCCAAACAAGCTTTATATATCTAAACAAGCTTTATATATCTCCTTACGTTGAGACTCTTCCATTTCATACCCTGACTAACAGTCTCCTCAGCCAACTTACGGACTACCCAATGGCTATTGATTCTGTGAGACCCACTTCCTTTCATACTCTTCTTATTCTCCATTCTCATTTCTATGATTATTGCTTCACTTCCTTTGGAACCTATGCGCCAAACAGCACCTACCAGTTCAACCTCCACATCCTCCTATCAAAAATCACTTCAAACCCTAACGTCCATTACGGCTTCGACAATCTCTCTTACGGTCAATCCCCAGACACAGTCAACGCAATCGGACTCTACGGAGCAGACGTTACTCCGACCTCCTGCCGTGACTGCCTCAGAAACTCCACCACCGTCACGCATTCCTGTTATAATTACAGCACCGCAATTTCAATACACGACGAGTGCCTATTGTTCTACTCAGGATATGTAATATTCGGTATCGTCCCGACTCTGGATTTCACTATCTACAATAGGAGCGTAAGGGATAATATAACAAATTGGGATCATTATAAGCTAGTTGTGAATGGCTTACTTGGGAGTCTGAGTCGGAAAGCAGCGTCCGGTGACTCTCGCAGGAAATTCGCCTTCGGGAATACTGAAGCAGGATCGGGGGGTAGGAAGATATACAGCGTTGTTCAGTGCATGCCTGATTTGAATGAGTCAGAGTGTCGTAATTGCTTGGACGGGGCTATCTCGAAAATTCCAGAATGTTGTAACGGTAGCGAAGAAGGCAGAGTTTTTAAACGGAGCTGCAATATCAGATTTGAGAGTTACAGATTCTATGAAGCTACGGCTGACGTGCCGACTTCAGTATCAGCACCGGCAACGGCACCGGCACTGCTAGTTTCTCCTCGTTCCGTCGATATGACGTCGTCACAGGGTACTTTTCAGCTTTTCTTAAATTAAGAGTTTCTCGTTGTTTTTTTTTTTTTTAATACTTTTCACTCTTAATTTATCTTGATTAAAAATTGTTATTTCCATAAAAATATGCAAAGACATAAATACCATCCAATCCTCATCCATAGGGGAATGAAGGAATGACGCTTGACACCTATATAGTAATAACTTCAGTTTGTGATTAGAAAATGTCAAAATTTCAGTTAAGGACTTCTAATATCCTCAATAATGATGCCAAACTCCATAACTACTCTTCACAAAATATTACATGTATAATTTTTCTAAAAAAATTAATTAGAAATTATTATATAAATATCAATTTGCAGAAGACTGTATGTAAATCTTTTCAGTAAATATTTTCAAAATGTTTTGTTAACTTTTAAAAACTTGACACTATTATGTGAAAAATCATCAATTATATTCTTAAAAATTTGTAATACCTAATTCGTTTAAAACAGGTCGGGTATGACATTATGACATTTGAATATATTCAATTAATAAGATTTGAATAATATTTTGGTTGAGATTTGTGCATATTGAATTAAATGACGAGCATTGTTATTAAATGGGATCTCAATTAGAGGCCTAAATGAAGAAATTAATAATTAATTTGGAATTTGAATAATATCTTAATTGGGATTTAAATATATTGAATTAAATAAAAAAATCATAATTAAATAGTATGTCAATTAAGGGTTAGATGGAAAAATAAATAAATAAATATATATTTTTATATGTTCCTCCTAATTTCAAAAACTCTTAGATGGAAAAATAAATAAATAAATTTATATTTTTATATGTTCCTCCTGATTTTAGAAACTCTATTTCAAATTTCATTTGAATGAATAAAAAAATCACACTTTTGTAAGCAGTGAATCTTGAGTTACCTTAGATAATACAATTTATTGAAATTTAAAATTTAATCAAATATTCTAGTCGGTGCATCGTATGGAGGAGAAATTTCTAGTTTAGAAAGAATAGATGAAAATTTAAATTTATTTATTTATTTCTCTATTTAAGCCTCTAATTGATATGCTATTTAATTATGATGCTCCACATTTAATGCAATATATTCAAATCCTAATTAAAATATTATTCAAATTCAAAATTAATTATTAATTTCTTCATTTGAGCCTCCAATTGAAATTTTATTTATTTATAATGTTTCCCATTTAATTCAAGATATTCCAATTTCAATCAATATATTATTCAAATATCATTAACTGAATATACTTAGATTCAATAATGTCATGCCTATCCATTTTTAAACGAATTGGCTATTATAAGTTTTCAAGTTGATAGTTGATATCATATCAAACCCATTTTTAAACGAATTCAGTATTATAAATTTTCAAGTTGGCAGTTGATTGTTGCAACAATTTGACACTTATCATTCCCAATTTACTATTAACTAATTTTCCATAAAACTCAGCATGGTGCATATCCACAATTCACTATAGACTATAAAATAATTTGCAACTAATTTTCTAAAAATTCAGCATGGTGCATTTTAGGGGAGAATGTAATTACGTGATTTTATAAGAATAAGAGGCAGAGGTTTTTGTACTGAAATCTTAAATCTTTTTAATCTCAAACTAAAATTAATCTGAAGTATTGGTCTTACACTCTCATCAGGACCAAAAAACAAAGAAAGAAAAAAGAAGTGCCACGTGAAGGGTCCTGAGTTTAAAAAATTGATTAATACCAAAATTTAATCAAACTATAAGTACTAACATTAATATTACTCCTTAGAAAAATTGTAGTAGTAGCGTTTTTGTCCTACAGAGTAGTTGGGCTTTACACATCCAACATGATTGTTTCTATGGGCTTTATGATTTGGTCTTGTATTTTTGTTTTGTGATGTCATTTTCTTTTCCCCTGTAAGCTTTTTGGGTTCTGCTCTTACTCCTTAGAAAAATTGTAGTAGTAGCGTTTTTGTCCTACAGAGTAGTTGGGCTTTACACATCCAACATGATTTTTTCTATGGGCTTTATGATTTGGGCTTGTGTTTTTGTTTTTTTGTTGTCATTTTCTTTTCCCCCGTTAGCTTTTTTGGTTCTGCCCTTTTTTCGTTCTACTGGAATGCATTTCCCCGGTCCAAAAAAAATAAAAATAAAAACATCCAACAAGTTTCATTATAAATCTTTTTCTATTAATTATTGTTGTTTGGTTAATGAACATGATCTTCTTTCTTAGGAAAACACAGTAAGTCACGAGTTGTCATTGAGATAATTGCGCCTATAGTTGGCTTTGTGGTACTGCTTAGCCTCGTTGGGGTTTATGCTGCAAAAGGAAGGAAGCTGAGGACAGCTATTCAAAGTAAGTGCACATGTATCCAATCAATATGGAAGCCATGAAAAATCCAGTGACATAATTAAAACGACGAGCTTGAATTCCTCTGTACCAGGTGAACTTGAAGCTAACGATAATGAAATTAAGCCTGCTGAATCAATACAGTTCAACTTTAGAACCATCAAAGTCGCTACAAATTCCTTCTCTGATGCAAATAAGCTTGGGCAAGGTGGATTTGGACCTGTTTATAAGGTAAGGATATAACAATGTCATGTTAAATAAATATCAGTTCCGAGTCTAATTACAATAAACGTTGGTTCTTAGTCAACTTCAGGGCAAGCTATCCAATGGACAAAATATTGCTGTCAAAAGGTTGTCTGGGGTTTCTGGGCAGGGAGATACTGAATTCAAGAATGAAGTGCTATTAATGGCTAAGCTTCAACACCGAAATTTAGTTCAGCTGTTTGGTTTTTCGTGGGAAGCCCTGATTACTTCATATTTCGTGGGAAATTCTCTTTAAACAAAAATCACCTCACTTTTTGTTGTGTGAATAAATGAGGAACTAAGTTTGAGTGAAAAGAAGTTAAAAAAGCTTTCTCAATTTAACTAAAACAAATATTAAAAAAGCCAACTTAGAGTTACTAATCCTTTGCTAGTTTCTTAAACCTCATTTCACTGAATTAATTAATTTTAATGTCAATTTTGTTAATATAGAGTTCAATTAGCTACAAATGCCTATCGGTCCACTTACAACCCTCTCTTAAATTAATTATGTAATATCTCATACAATTATCTAAGAAGCTAAACAATTCAATATCACTCATCAACAATTATATGGGGTAATTAGGTATATTTCTATTCTAATCCAAATTAGATTATCAGCTAATCCCATATTATTTAATCTAAAAGCTTAATCAAAATCTCTTTTGTCAAGAAAAATTTTAATTCTCAAATTAATAATTAATGGTAGCCAGTCATCAAATAGAAAATTAAAGCAAGAGTAAGTAATTAAAATTTAATATTAAGCATCCTCAATTCAGTGAAGTGAAATAGAGCTCAATCCACTAACAAGTTCATAGTTTCTCTAAGCAGTAAAACACACTAGCCACACATGACTTCGAGCAATCTCAATTCAACAGCAACAAATTCAAAACAAGATGACATACTGGAATGGAAGAAGAATATAAACAGTGGAATGAATGAACTAGATGATGGAATAATGGAAAACGAATTGAATGTGAACGGAATGAGAAGAACCCAAAGCCCCAACAATGCAGTCTCTCCCTTCTCTCGCCAGAAAACCGCCTCTGTTCTGCTCCTCTTCAGCTATTCCATCGAGCTTTCTCTGAGAAGGAAAGGGAGAACATCAGCTTGCTCACCGTCGGTCTCGATTCACTAGCTCAGTCTGTTGAACTCGTCCAATGTCCCGAGAAGAAGAGAAAGAAGAGTGAATGGCCGTCCCTCTAGTCCAGAACCAGCGTCGGCTACCCCTTCTCGTCGTTGATCTCCTCTGCTGAACCTGTAGACCTGAGCCCCCAAACCCGCGGACGAAGAAGATCGACGGAGATGATGGACAGTCCGCAAAATGCCGACTCCTCCTTTCGAACCAGAACCATCTACCAGAACAGTGTCCAACTCTCCCCCTTCCGTCCGTTTGGGGCCTTCCTACAAGACGATCATGAACAGTCATAGCTAAGTCTCCAATGTGGGGTGTGTTTGCATTCACGTTTGGACACCAAAACTTGCGATTCAAATGGCAAACGGTGCTTTTTCAGAAAATGTAGGGTATGTTTGGATTGGCTTTGAGCAAAACTGACTTCTACTCCAACTAACTTTTCTAACTGAAGTTAGAGTAAAAGTCAATTATGGTATGTTTGGATAGGTGCTTTTAAAAAGTCAGTTGAAAAAGTAAAAGTTGTTTGGATGAATATAAAAGTTAGTTCAGTTGTAAAATAACTGAAAATGGCATATACTATATTGAATAATAGTGTTTGATATTTTTAATATGATAATTGTTAAAAAAAATATAAAATTATTATGATAAAATAAAAATAATTTATTTGTAAGACTATAAAATAAAAATATATGTCACCAAGAAAAATTTAAAAACACATTATAGATAATTAATTAAATATATATAATGGACAAACATGAACATAAATTAAAATTCATCTCGTCTCTAATTAGAGTAATGAAATTACATAAGTAATTAGATCGTACTTAATAGACAAACATGAACATAACTTAAATGAAAATTTATTTGGTCTCAAATTAAAGTAAATAAAATGACATAACTAATTAGATCATAAGCTTTGCACAATTTAGTCTCTAATTGAGTCACAAACACGATTCATTTGTGCAGTAGATGTTAAACTTGACGAGGATGCCTCACCAGCTGGATGATTATTGTCTTCATCTATTGTACTTCAATGCTCAGCTTGTATAAAGCGGTCATCAGTTGGAGATTTTTTCCTGATAAAATTATGGACAGCCATTGTTGCACAAACTTTGCGGACTTATGCTTGAAACTTGAATCTGGGCATGTCTCTTAAGATTGCAAACCTATTCTTCCAAACCCCAAAAGTTGTTTCAATAGTGCATCTCAAACTTGAATGATAATAATTGAAGGCCTCATTCTCATTTCTAAATCCTGGCAACGATTAAAGTCTGGAAGGTGATAGCGCTCACGTCTGTACGGGGTAAGGTATCCCACTTGTGATGAATAGCTAGCATCAACCAAATAAAATTTGCCTAGAAAATCATCAACCAAATAATGCAATTGAAGCTTAATTTTAAAATAATTGATTTGAAATTTACAAAAATATACCTTCAGATGGATGAGGAAAATTCATGGATGGAGTTGAAATAGCAGATTGAAAGACACGAGCATCATGTGCACTACCTTCCCAGCCTGCCAACACGAACGTGAAGCACATATCCCAATCACATACGGCCATGACATTTTGACTTGGAAATCCCTTCCTCCCAATATATTTGTCTTGCCTAGCTTGACTAACTTGACATTTTATATGGGTGCCATCAATTGCGCCAATTGCATCCTTAAAAAATAGAAAGTATCGTGGATCATTTGCTATTTTTGGGTGGCAATAGGAGAATGCAGGATCAATAGGCCTGATATTTTCTCGAGATAAATTGAGGCAAGCATCCAACACTCTGAAAATGCTGACTGACAGTTTCTCTTGAACGCTGAAACCTTTCTTGAATCATCCTATTACACTGACCATGCGCAATTGTATTCAAGAACATGGTAACAGATTCATGGACACCTATGTACTTAGAATTTTGCAACCCATGTTCAACCAATTTAGAACATAACCGATGGAATATCTCTGTTTCCATTCGAAACATTTCCTTAGACCGTCCTTTATGCCCGTACAAAAGTTCTTGAACCCATAAATAACCTGTTTGTTCGCTAGTTCTGCATGGCTGTTTGTATAGAAAAGGTGTCACATACAGACCTATTAGCCCACTTAATTGTGATAATTATGTTGTGTGTTCATATAAGGCGGGAAGTAATTGAGACCCTTCGTCGTCCCAACCCTCGCCCCAATTATCTGTTGAATCAGACATGGATTATGTTACCTATGAATAGTTAAATACTAAATGTGAGTACTATTTTCACAAAAAAAGAAGAGAAAAGGTAAGTGATAAATAGCCATTAAATTGTAACATAACAATTATACGTAGTCATGAAACACAACATTAAACGTAGTCATGAAACACACAACATTAAACAAAGTCATGAAACACACATAATCATTAAACACATTGTCATGACACACAATAACCAAATACATTAAGATAGATAAACAAAAATCACAATAAGTCACTAGGCACAACTCAAGGATTCTTGGGTGCAGCATATGGTGGCGGATTTGCAGCATTGTGCTTCAACCAAGCCACTAATACCTCCCGATTTTCTATCAAACCAGCATATATGTCCCTGAATGTCTTGTTTGCCAGCAGATTACAGCAGATGACACATAGATGAGTGTCACTGACAATTTCAGGCATACTTAACAGATCAGTGGTAAGCTTAGTAGTGTTATCACTATTGGAGATTTTGTTTATTGCCTCTGTTGTACTAATTGAAGCCTTCTCAATCGAACTCACTGAATCTGCTATTCTTCTTGTCACTGGCATCTTTTGCTTCTTGTACTTGTCCAACCCTTCACCTCTCTTCCTCTTCCCTTGACTCCCTGAAGCACTAGGTATAGTGGGTGCAGTGTTCAATGTGTTTGTAGTTAAATTGATGCTGTCCAAAAAGTTCGAAACTCCTGCACGGCGTCCAGTGTTATCTTCACTATCCCCTGAACCTTCTTGCCTATCCCCTGAACCTTCTTGCCAATCCATTATTGGTTGGTAGTCATTTGGCTGATCACCCCTCTGTGGTGCAGGCTCGGTCCAAAATGGTGCCCACATATCATCTCCTGATGCCATAGTGTCCTTGAATATAGTTTCCAATTCAGTACGAAACCTTAGCCCATAGTGCCTAAACATTTCATATGCTGGATTTTCCTACAAAGTCAAAAGTAAACTATAGTTAAATTGATTCCAAAAGTATAATACTACTTATAAATTAACATATGCTACTTCATACCCGTAATTTCCTCTCCCACCACTCATCAGATGCCACCACCGTGTTCCTTTCAGGGTCCCACCCTATGCCGGTCTCCTTAGCAATTAGTTTATCAAATGTCTTCCACTCTTTCCTCAAGTTATCTAATCTATTTTTCAACTATTTTTTTTCATATCCTCTCCCTGTCTTTTCATTGAATTCTCTATGAATATTGTCCCAACCTGGTTTTGTAAATGAAGATCCTTGACAAAGCTTGTTATAAATCTGATCAACACATATTTTGAGAAACACACCTATGGTGCTCACATCCCAATGTGCTTTGCCTTTATTGTTACTCGTAGTTCTTGTTGAAATTACATATATATCAAAGCCACAATTAGTCAAGAATCAAGTAGTATAATCAAACAGTATAGACCCACAATATATGTAAATCAAATCACAAAAAGTGAATTAATTCAAGCTCTGCCTTACGTTACAAACATGCAAAAAAATAAGAACTTATCGATATTTGGATTTAGCACACAATTACACCACCTATTCTCAATCATGATACATGAAGCTCATAGCACCAAAAATACTCTTTTCCTTTAACTCAAAAATTCCAACCACGCAATATAACATAATATCTAACAAAATTAAGGCCAAACTATTGTTCAATGTAGACAACCAAGGCAATTTCAACAAATATATAATTTCTTTTCCCCCCTTGCTTCACACATTCATTCGTCCCCATCTTCCCATCACCTTAATTCATTCATTCATTAACTCTGATATGCCTCGGTCAACACCACTTCTCTCAGTAATGGACTTCCATTAATTCTTCCTTAGCCTTAGATCTCCTATCATAGATTCTCGAACCTTCGACAGACAGAATCCCCATAAATAAAATTCTCCGATCAACAAAAAGAGGAGCGAAAAAA